TGAGGGTCAGTACAGTGAAGCTGATGAATCCTTTCCTGTAGCATCTGAATTCCCATAAATGCCTGGTAAAGAGAGATTGAGCTTCGGACCAGAGTTTGGCAGTTTGGATGCAAAATAAACGAATGCACAAATATAAGGAAGAGTAGGGGGAGAGTTTCCGATCCGTGACCAGGATCCTGCTCGTTTAAACTCTTGCATACAGGCAACAGGAGTGTAACATAAAGCCGCGGATTCAGGTGCGAGGTTCAGGTTTTAAAGGCTGGATTCTCAGGGCAGATGGTTGTGCATGGTTGCTCCTGATTTGCAATAAAAGAAAACACATTGCCGTGACGGTGCTTACAAATGGAGTAACACACGTTGGGGAGGAGTGCAGCATAAGAGCCTGCCCAGGACAGAACTTGCATGCATAAGATGCATTAGCTTGCCTTCATGTTCAGTAACCCAGTGTGCATGTACAGCTAGGAGTTAGCTATGTCTGCAGGCTGAGTGCGCAGCTGTGTGCTAGTTGGGCCTCAAGAGCGTGAATGAATGTAAGAATCAGCCTGTGTCTTCTGTAGGGTGAAAAGCTAAGAAAATTCCCTTGTGTATTCTCTTCCCTTCTGGATTTTCTTAGCTCTACATGTCCGACTTCTAGGCAGGGAATATATTTTTCCTTTCCCACGTGCATATTTCTGCATACTACTAGGAAATGCTTTGCATTGTCTCCTTTATGTGCATCTCGCATGCAGTTTTACATCCGTCTGTCTGTACTTATAAGGCCACGGTTAGTGTAGTTTTGAGCACGCCACAGTCTCTCGGGTGTTCAGCAACCACGTGCGGTAGGGGTGAGCCGTTATATTTTTTCTCCTCTGTCATTCGAGACCAACGAAGGCTTAAAGGTGCAGTTGTGTTAGGACATGAACCTGGAAGACCTGGTTTCCATTTCCAGCTCTGCCTGAAACTCTTTATGTGGCCTTAAGCAAATCGCCTCGACCCTGATCCTTACAGGTGTTTAGGCCCACGACGCCCTTTGACAGAGAGCCTGTGAGGGCCTGACTGCTCCACCGGATTTTTGCCCTCCGCTCAGACCTCGCTGGATTTAATATCACAAATAACAATCCCAGCTGCGCTTTGCTCTCCAGGCGGCACGCCCATCAGCAGTAAAGCTTGGGATAAGGCCTCCCCTGCTCTAGCAACACTAGGAGCCCTTAGGAGCAGAGCAGATGCCCTGTGTAACCAGCTGCAGAAACATCACTGCCATTCAATTGTGCGAGGGGCAAAGCAGGGCCTACACTGCTTGGGGCAAAAGATTTCCAGCTTGGAAAGTGCCTTCATGTTCTTTCCTCTTAGAAGACGACCTGTCCAGATGCTCGGACAGCTCAGACGTGCTAGACCAGGTAACCGGAGCAGGTATTGCCGAGCTGTAGCTTGACCCGAGCTTCCTTGTCAAGTGGGACCGGGGATTGTGGAGCATTGAGAGCAGCGACAACCAGAGCAGTAACAGATATTGCGACCAGCCAACTGTGAGCGGGGGCAGGCGGGAAATCAGCAGTTCCCTGGCTGTGCCTCCTCCAGCGTAATCCCAGAGCAGCAGGTGGCAAGCGTGAACAAAGGACTCTCCCAACACCAAACCCTCTGCTGTGCACCTGGGGGGAGGAGGAGAGGACACACGTGTGACAGGCTCATCGCTTCTCTTAGTGCACTGATGCTGCGCTAGTACAAGGCTGGATGTAGCCTGGGCTCTCGTTCAGGAGCACTTAAGTATGGGCCTGTGTCCCACTCACCCGAGGGCTTGACTGCGCTGGTGCTAGTGGTGTCACTGTCTAGTTTATTGGTGCAGGTGTCCTCAGTGCAGACAGGGGTGTTGCTTGTAGCTATATTGCTCTAAGGACATAGGCAGACAAGGTTATTTGGGTAAATGTGATATCTTTTGCTTAGACCAACTGAACTTTTGGAAAAATTGTTCTTCGCAAGCTTTCGGGCACAGGTGCCCTTCCTCAAGCATGGGAAGACTCTATTATGGGAGACTCCCTATGCCTAAAGAAGGGTGCCTGTGCCCCAAAAGCTTACAAAGCACAATTTTCCAACTATTCAGCTGGTGAAATTAAAATAGATCCCATTTACCCAAATAACCGCATCTGCTTTCAGTGCAGATGGGGACTAAAAAAACCCGTGATACCAGGCAACTCCTTTTGGGTCTCAGTGGGAAGTGCAGCTGTTTGCAGCTGCTGCAAGTGGGACTAGAGGCAATTTTGGACCTGATGCGACTCCTAGAGAAGTCAATGGGAGTTTCTCCATTGACTGCAACAGGCTGTACATACTACTCACGTGCAGTGACCAGGATGTTTGAGACCAGGGAACAGAGATTAAAATGAAACAGAAATGGCCTGGCCTCTTCCATTCTTCCTACTTCATTCAGCTTCAGTGATGAATCCAATTGCACATATGCATTGGAAAGGAAATAGGACTTTTTCCAAGTGTTTAATATTAAAAAGGTTAACTTTAAAAATGTGAAATTACTTCTGATCACTGCCTCTCTTTCCCCTCCCGCTGCTCCTCTTCCCCATGAGCTTTGTAAACTCTTCAGTGCAGAGACCATCTCATTATGACTTTATGCAGCCTCTAGCACAGCGGGAACCCGATCTCGAAAGGGGGCCCTGAGAGCTGCGCTAATTACCCATAATTAACAATGCTAGCCTGGCAGCATCCAATTTTAATATTGAGAAGAGCAGGCTTAATGCAAATTTGCCTGTTTTGTTTAAGCAATTGACTTGATGTTTTGTTATTATTATTATTGGAATAAGTGAAATGAATGGAGTGTTCCTAGTCTGTAGAGTAATGGTGTGTGTGTGTTTTTAATTACATAGCTAATATTTGTTTCCTCTTTTACCTGAGAGACTTCAGAGCTGTTGAATCTTCTGTAACCTTGGAGGTTAGTGACAGCTCTGGAATAAGGCAGAAAGGCTTTATATTCACCGAGTGGAGTAATTAGCAGGTTATTCATAGTCAGATGAAGTGGCAGTGCAAGGTCTTGTCTGCTGAATGTGCCCATCCAGGCACCGGATCTGCTGGCTGCGTCCAGAGCCCTCGGCGTACCTGACCATTAAGTGACTGTGTTTTCATAGGTGGGATCCAGGGTTATGGATTCCCTTAAAGGTAATGAATGTTTGTGCTAGAGGTCTTTGCTGCTTCAGCAGTTGCACATAATCTTATCTTTCCACTTTATTTTCCTGCATAGCTATGCATCAGATTCTTCTGCCTTCTTATCTTGCTGCTGAAACGTATGCTTGGGCAGAGCTTGCTTTGCGCAATCGAATTGTTTATGTTCCTCTGAACCCGCTGAGCACAGGGCAGATGAGCCTGATCTTTATGCTGCTGTAGAGCAGGGGCAACTCGTCTCACGTCACTGTGCGCATCTAGGCATGAACGTTTGGCCAGAATAAAACTGATGCTTGCGATGCAGCAGATGGTCGCGCGCACGCGTTGTGAATTCCACATTTCCTTTCCCCTCTTTCTCTTATGTTTGATGTGACGAGCATCCTGCCAGAGTTGGGCAAACGGTTCTCAATATGCAGCTTATTTGTTAGTCCTTTTTTCTTTTCTTTGCTGTTCGTGCATGGTCCATGCCTGGACTGCTGCCTTTATACACGTGTTCAAAACTGAACCAGATTTGCTGCTCCAGAAGACTTGGCAGCCTGGCTTAGCTGGCACTTTCAGCTGCAGCAGCAAATTGCACGCGTGGAGGACTTTTTGGAGAGGCTTCACAGCGCTTGCACGTGTCCCAGGCCTTGGCCTGTGTTGTCACTGGACGGTTGCAACAAAGAGAGACTGCTCAACGAGGAGGGCAGGGCTGTCCTCATTCCTGCTGGCTGGCTGGCTGTCATGCTGGTGTAGTCATCTGGCTTTTCCCTTTCTGGTGCATTAATTCATTGGCAGTCCCAAATGCCTGAGGCATCAAGACCAAGAGAGGAGTGAAAACTCTTTTTGGGCTGGCGTGTCTTAAAACTCAACGAGGAGTTGAGCAGCCTGCCTCGGCCACATCAAATGGGCAGCCCGCTTCTGCTAGGGAAACGTGGCATGAGGGCAAAGCACTGATATAGTTGCAAACCCCTAGTGCAGAAATCCTGTACTGGTGCCAGACTGGTTTGTGCTGATTTATTCCCCACTCCCAGGTGCAGGCCTGACCTTTTTCTCTGCACTGACAATTCGCCCTGTGATGATGTCTTCAGTTTAACTAAAGTGGTGAAGAAAACTCTACCCTAGGGCTGTAGTCAGCAGCTGGAGGCAGGGGGTCCTGCTCCTGGCAGCAGGAGGGCCTGGCATCCCTGGGCAGGGTCATTGATCCTGCTGTCTTTTTACACCTCTCGTCTTCCCTTCTATACCTCTTAAGTAGTTCTGGCCTTGCCTCGGCTTCCACTGAAGTGGCCTCCCTTTAGGCTGGAGCTTTCCAGTGTCTCCAAGCACCTGCAGTGCAAAGAAGAAATTCAAAAAGAGAAGACGTCTTTTTTTTGTCGTTGTCCTCTTTGGTGAACATAAGCTTGATTGACAAGTACCCTCTTAGCACTGGCATCTGGGAGTTCCCAGGCTTGAGTGTTAATGGATTTTTGCATTAGCACCGCACGTGTGAATCCCAGCTCCTGCAGCTGCCGAGCTACTGTGGTCCCTGAGGTGATGCTGTTGCCCAGCAGTCTCCTCTGCGTTTCAATGCAGGAGATAATAACTTCCCTCCTTTTATCCAGTGCACTCTAATAGGTCTCTAGCTGTACCTGCTCATCTCAGCCAAAGCAGGATTGTACCCAGCGGTATGTGTTTCTCTGGTTTTGTCCAGTCTCTTTTAATTAAGCCAAGCAAGAGCAGCTTCTACTATTTATCTGCTTAAGCTTTTTTCACAGTCTGATGGGCCTCACTGTGTCAGAGGGTTTTACCAATGTGTTAATCCTGCTAATCACTTGTCTGCTTTCTCCCAAGGAAAGTCTTTTGTTTCTCAATTTAACGTACTCTCCTTCCTCCTCCCTTCTCAGAGCTTGATGGCAGTCAGCGAGTTCAAGATGAAGGTGGACCAAGAGAAAGTCATCAAGTGTTTGGAGCTATTGAGTTTCCTCCTCAAAACTGCCAGCCAGCAGGTGAGCCTCTGGTCACTGGTCCCGGCTGGGGTCAGTCTATCCCACGTGCCAGTCTGTTTTGGCAGCATCAGTGAACAGCTGTCCTGTGGGCAGGCTCCAAGAAAGCATGCATTTCAAAGGGTTGCACTGATGTTTTAACCGTCCAACTCGTACTGAATTCAGCATGAGGGCTGTTGCACCTGTTCAACAAGCCCCCCCGGCAGGACTTTGTAGCTGGGTTTGATCTGAAAAGCCCTGATATCCAGAATAGTACTAACGCTCTCAGTACCTCTCCAAGCGTTTTTCAGTGAGGTCAGAGGCAGCGTGGCCCACTGGATAGAGTCTCTTCTCAAGCCAGCAGCAAAGGAGCATTTAGAGGAGCCAGGGTGTCAATGAAAGGCACGTGGATTGGAAACCAGGGTCAAGCCTCACTGGTGCCAGTGACTCTTTCTGCTGCTGTAGGGTCTTTATGCCAGAGCTGCGGATGGGAGCAGCTATACTGGGGGCTGAATTTCCAGTGTCAGCAACCCCTGCCTTAGAGAGAAGTGCCCTTGTTCAGAGGAACTGGGTGGGGTGCGGGTGTTGCCTTTTGAGTGAGGGAATATCCCTGAGATGGGTGCAGTGCTGCTGTAAACATTGCTTGGATTCAGTGCCTCGTATGGTGCAGCCCTCGGTTGTTCCCTTTGTCTTGCAGATGCTGCACGTAGAGGTGACAGAGGTGCCTGGGGCACTGCAAGCTCTAAGCCTGCAGGAAGGGTTTGGGAAGTCCGTGCGCCTTGACAATATCTACTGGAACGTCATGAAGCTGCTGGGATTTACGTACGTATGCCCCGCTGCTTGAGCTCTCCATGGTGTGTGAGATGCAGGCTTTCCATGCTCCCCTTCTCTCAAAGCGTGGGGCTAGGGTTAGTTAGTTCTGCACTCCTCACCTGGGCTTTGGCACCCTCTTAGGACAAAGGCCAAGCACATGGTTCACGGTCAAGACCTACCTGGCTAACTGGTGGGCTGCATTGACCCTGTACCTAAGGGCAGGAAGAAATGCCATGTTCCCAGAAATCTGTGCGTCCATCTTGTAAACCAGCCTTAGATTTTTTTTTTTTTTTTCCCTGTTCC